CAAAGATAAAAAAACTCTTTTAAATTTAGGATTAGTTGATAAAAATTTTGCAAGTTACTTTATTCCGATATTATGGAAGAAACATGCACATAATTATATTTCAAATAAATTTAAATTTTGGAAAGGAAAAGCATTAGTTGATATTTTATATAATGGTTTACCTGAAGATTATCAAAAACTTTTATCGGATAAAGAAATTTATACTGAAACTTACGATTCATTTCTTGATAGTGTAATACATAAAATTATATTCACAAAGAAAAAATATATGTTTAATTACGCATCATACATTAATCCGATTCCTTGTTCATCAATATCAGAATATATTAATTATGGAAAAGATAAAGATTATGTTATCGGTTTATTAATTAGTTATTATTTTAAAAATAATTTTAAATAAAAACGTATTTTTTAATTTTTATATGCAGTATAAAAATGTGACGTTTCACAAAAAAAATATTAATTTTTTATTCGAGATTTTTTTTAAAAAAAAATGTGAAACGTTATAATTTATAAAAGATCTGATGATTATTTGCTAAATTTATTAAACAATAATCAAAATTAAAATTAATAATTAATCCGATTTGTATCACACGACATTTTATATTAATTTATAATTTTCCGTATATTAGTCATTTTTTTAATCATAATTTCATGTAACTTAAATATTTATTAATAAATTTATATTTATACAATAATAATTTGATATTAAAATATATTTAAAGATTAATCAAATAAATTTATAAAATTATTAATATCGTAAATGATATTATTCTTTCTTGATTTTCTAAATTATTTTTTATATTTTTATTTTTGAAATAATCATTTTCTTGAAGTTTTTGATATTCAAAAAGGTATTTTTTATTTAAAATTTCTTCAAAATTACTTTTTTCATCAGATAAAATTTCTTCAAAAGACATTTTAGATTTTTTTTTGTTTAATTTAATATTTGATAGAAAAATATACTTATTTATAAACAAGATAATTAATAATATTATTA